CATTAGGACTTATCCCTTTGATGTCCGCTATGGTCCATCCCATGGCTTCTTTATGCTCTTTCAAGACTTCAATCAATTGGTTTTCTTCAAAGTCTTTCAATTGAGAAGAGATAATCACCGGTAAAGTCTCATCTTGACCTAGATAAGCATATTTCAAATGGATAGGTAAAGCTTTCAACTCAAGTGTGGGTGGTTGGATTATGGAAGGTGGCATCTTGATTGGAGAATGAGATAATGCAACTTGAGAAACATCCTTCTTTGTGGAATTAGTAATTTCTAAAGCCTTCACAATATTTTCGACTTCGGAATCCAATGTATACATATCCAAGGTATTCTTCAAACTTTCACCTTCAAGACTCATGTTAAGCACCATCTTCAAAAGATCCCCATTTGATAACTCGAATAATTGTTGGGTGATTGGCTCAATCACATCAACTCGATACAATGGAGATATATTGCTAGGATATCTCATTGCGTCGAAGATGTTGAAGTGAATGGTCTCTCCATCAAACTCCATGGTGATCTTTCCATTGTGGACATCAATAATCGTGTGAGCGGTATTCATGAAGGGTCTTCCAAGGAGAATCATAGATGACTTGGAAGGAGTCTTTTCTTCAAGATCAATGACATAGAAATCCGCGGGAAATACTAGTTGATTAACTTGAACGAGTACATCCTCCAACATGCCTCTTGGAAATACACTTGACTTGTCCGCTAATTGAATAATGACTCCGGTTTCTTCCAAAGGTCCAACATTGAGAGATTGAAAAACCGAGTATGGCATGACGTTGATTGAGGCTCCAAGATCTAGCATGGCACTTTCAACATGTAAATCACCAATGGTACAAGGTATAGCAAACATCCCGGGTCTTTGCATTTGGGTGGAAGCTTCTTTTGGATGACCGCGGATACATTTGCATTTACTTGAATCTTCTCATTTGTCTTGAATTTTCTCTTGTTGGTGCACAAATCCTTAAGAAATTTGGCGTAACGTGGGATTTGCTTAATGGCATCCAAGAGTGAAATGTTGAGTTGAACTTGCGGAAAGTCTCGAGAAACGCTTGCTCTTCTTCTTGTTTCTTTGAGGAAGCCAAACGGGATGGAAAAGGTGGTGGTATGACCAATGGTTTGATGGATTTGTTGGAAGGGTCGGGTTGATCAACATTTGGCACAACCGGTTCTTTTGGAGGAATCACAACTTTTGGAGGTCCACTATGATCACTTCATCTTCTTCTTCTCTTGAAACTCTTTTAGGTTGACTTTCTCCAAGTGTTTTCCCACTTCGTAAGGTAATGGCATTCACATTGGGGTTCTTCTCGGTTTGAGATGGAAGTTTTCCCCTTTGTTCTATCTTGTTGAGAGCGGTTGCCAAGTCTCCAATTTGTGCTTGAATGTTGGAGAAAGTATTCTTGGTTTCTTGTTGAAATTGGGTTTGACTTTGAGCAAGAGAAGTAACAAGTTCTTGAAGGCTCATTTGATGGTTACCACTTGATTGACCTTGTTGTGGAGGGTGTTGGTAATGTGGAGGGTTATAAGAATTTTGTGGATATGGAGGTTTTTGGGATTGGTATTGTGGATGTTGGGGTCTCATCAAAAGATTTGGTGGATTTTGCTTTGGTGGATAAGGGTTGTTTTGGGTATTCCTCCAATTGGGTTGAATTATTTTGAAATCCCATGGGTCTTGGTTGACTTTGATATCCGCCCATTGCATTCACATCTTCCGGTTCACTTCCAAGTGTGGGACACTTATCCGTATAATGACCCGTCATTGCACAAATACCACATACCATCAATTGTTGACCACTTCCCACCACCATTTGACTTAACACATTAGTCAAATCCAAGAGCTTTGATTCCAAATGTTGAGTGTTGCTAACTTCACCAACCACTTGTGTAGAATTTCTCTTCATGTCATTTCGAGTCCCAAAATTCCTTTGATTTTGAGAAATGGTACCAAAAAGTAATCGGATTGTGAGGGGTTTTGTTGAAGATGTCACCACCACTTGAAGCATCAATCATCCTCCGATCTTTTTCATTCATACCCTCATAAAATTGTTGAAGAAGTAGTTGTTCGGGTATATTGTGTTGAGGACAACTTGTACACAAATTGTTGAAGCGCTCCCAAAAATCATGAAATGTTTCATTTTCCCCTTGACGAATCCCCAAAATGTCACTTCGTTGGCTTGATATCCGGGAGGTGGGATAGAATTTGCTATTGAAGGCCTTGAGTAACTCTTCCCATGTGTGAATAGATCCCGGTGGTAAGTTGAATAACCACTCTCTAGCTTTGTCTTCCAAGGTGAGCGGGAATGCGGTTAACTTGAAATCATCCAATGTCACATTGTCGGGCAACATGCTAACACATATCATATGAAAGGACTTCAAATGCTTTTGAGGATCTTCTCTATCCAACCCATGGAACTTGGTAAGTTGATGGATGAAACTTGACTTCAATTCAATCCCTCGGCGGTTTGCGGGATAAACAATAGCAAGAGGTGTATGAGTAACATCCGTTTCCATCATTTGTCTAAGTGTCAACTCTTGAGGAGGATTGGGTGGATTAGGTATTGGGATATTGTTGCAAGTAATTGGGTGGTTGTTGGTAAGGTGGATATGGGTATTGTTGGGATTGTAGATTGGTGGTGGATAAGGTTGGTAGTTAGGGTATTGGTTGTAAGGAGGTTGTTGTTGTGGGTACATTGGGTTTTGGTACATTGGAGGGGGTTGGTAATTAGGTTGATTTGGGTAATGTACTTGTTGAACTTGAAAAGCATTGTTTTGAGGTTGGTTGTTTTGGTGGAGTGTTGGTTTTGTATTGTGGTTGTGGTTGATAATTGGGTTGGTTTTGAGGAGGGGCTTGATTCCAAGGTGGCATATCAATGAGAGGTTCTTGTGGTTGTTGTCTTGGTTGATGGGGTGGGGTATTGGCATCTTGGTTGATTGGGTTTGGGTTGGGATTATGAGGTGGAGTGTGATTCATGGCTATGTGGTTTTCAAATGGAATGTCTTCAAAGGAATGACCAACAATTGGAGAACTGGTTCGGTGTCGGTATCACTTGAAGTATGAACTTGATCTTCTATGTTGATTAGTGGAGAAGAGGAAGAAGCTTGAACTAGTTGTTGTTGCTTTGCTTGTTTGGCTAACTTTTTCAACCTTTTTGCTTCTCTTTCAATTTCCGGATTGTAGAGTAGTTCACCGGTTCTTGTAGACCTAGGCATAAACAATCAAATAACAAAAACCAATTTCCCCGGCAACGGCGCCAAAACTTGGTCGGGATGTCAAGCCCACCAAGCAAATTACACCCTTTGATTGCTAACTAAACGTAATATAATGGTAAAAAGGGGTATCGATCCTCGGGGAAATGGTTGTATTCAATCACCAATGCAATTTAATAGAACTAGTGAAATTAAACTAACTAACTACAATTAAAATAAAAAGGGGGGTGTTTGATTACTTGATAACTAAAATACTTGAATAACTAAAAACCTTGCAATTAAGCAAGTTGATGAGATGCTCAAAGGTTGTGAATAATTGGTTAACTAAGGCAATTCAACACAATGAACATTTGTGTGTTTATCATTAGGATCTAATACAAAGCTTATCTTTCATCCCAAATTGGTTATAGCAATCATGAAGCATGATATGCCAAGATTCCTCATAGATAGTATGGAGGTTGGGGAAGCCCACAACACACCTTCTTAATTAAGATCAAGGGTCAATTGAAGCAATTAATCCCAAGAAATCAATTAGCTTTAAGAATGAAGGAATCCCCAATTCCTAGAGGATGTCAAATGCTTACACATCCATAAAGGAGATATGATTCACAAGCTAGAGATGATTTCTACCATCATAAAGCCTTTGTTCTAGATAAATTCAATGATCCAATGCAAAATCAATGAAATAAATCAACTATTGCTCAATCAAATACTAAGCTCATGATCAAAGTATCAAATAAGCATAAGAATTGCAAACTAGAATCATAAACATGGAATAAATTGATAATCAACATAAATCCTTCAAAACCCACAAACATTCATTGGTTTTCAGCCAAAATTAACCAAATAAGAGTATTAGCCACTCATGGCAACAAAGAAACAAGAACAATAATCTAATTGCATAAAGAAACTACCTAAGATTTGGAAAGATGAAAGGAAATGAACTTTTGCTCCCAAAATCGCCTCTTGCAGGTCTCTAATGGTGGAAAAACGTGAATGCAGCCTCCAGATCTGATCCCCAAGGGTTAAGGCAAGCCAAATGACCAAAATGCCCAAACTGGGCAGTTGCGCGGGTACCCGCGCGACGGAAATTCCACCCGCGCAAATGTTGCTGTAATGCTATTGGTCCACCAAGCCACTACACCCTTCCACTACCAAAGATTCCTTTGGTCCCCCCTCCTTGTCCCTGTAATTTGAAATGCACCAATCATCATTTAGCCACCAAATGGATGCTCCAAGCCCAAAATTTGAATTTTATGATCCATCTTCACAAGCCCAAATAATCCAAGCCAATATCTTTCAAGGCCCAATTCATCCTCTTTGATTCCGCCAAGCCCAATAATGCCTCGGGAGCCCACTAAGCCCGTCTCCGATCAACCCGCAACCGCAACAAGCACCGAAAAACCTACAAAATATCTTATGCAACATAACAAGCACCCGGTACGATCCAAACTAAAGAAAATAAAATAAAATACAATGCATTAATGATAAAAAGATCTAAAAAACTAAAATAAACTAATAAAAATAAGGAAATAAAATAAGCTATCACGAACTTACTATACAATTTCGATAACTTCTTGATCAATATGAAATGTATCATTTATTTAAAAAAGTCAAGTAATCAAATAATTTAAGTATTCAAAAATATTACACCCTAATTAATATTTGAAGTGTTCCACAATTTCCACAAATTCTTTGAAGACGAAACCAACATATAAAATCTCCAATACCCCAATCCAATAAACACAAAACAAAATTATGTTGGTGATTGTAACTTTCAAAGAATGAAAACCTTCCATAGCCATGTCAGCACCTTCATGTTCATATTCTCTCTTTTCTTCTTCTACCCTTTTGTCAGTGTAGCCGTTGACACCATCACACCCACACAACCCCTCACCATCAATCAAACTCTAGTCTCTCATGGTGAAGTTTTCGAGTTGGGTTTCTTCAACACAAACAACGGTAGTTTGTATATAGGAATTTGGTATAAACAAATTCAACAGCTAACGTATGTTTGGGTAGCTAATAGAGACACCCCCATTACTTCATCGTCCGGGAACCTAACCATCGTCGACAACGATAACATGGTGCTGGTAAACCAAGTGGGAACCGTCGTCTGGTCATCAAATCAACCCACAAAGGCGGTGAAGACGGTTGCGCAGCTTTTGGACAACGATAACTTTGTGCTTCGACCGGAAAACGATGAGAAACTGGAGAATTATATTTGGCAAAGCTTTGATTATCCGACTGATACTCTATTACCGGAGATGAAACTGGGGTGGGACAAGAAATCTGGAATTACTCGGCGTTTGCAGTCGTGGAAGACGAGCGATGATCCGACGATAGGTGATTATTCTTTTAAACTGGATACTAGTGGCTTCCCGGAGCTTCTAACATTGAAAAACGAAACAAGAATTTGGCGAACTGGGCCATGGAATGGGATAAGGTTTAGCGGCGTACAACAGATGGTGGGGGTGGATATAATGCAATTTGAATTACATGATAATTCCGATGAGATCAGTTATAAGTTTGAAATGGTGAATAATTCTATCTATTCACGATTGGTTATAAATTCTTTTGGTGTTAATCAAAGATTGGTTTGGGAGAAAACAACAAAAACCTGGAGGTTGTACTGGTCTTTCTCCAAGGATTGCGATCATGTTGGAATCCTAAGTCGAGTAGGACTTGGAGACTAAGCAATAGCAACCTAGTTTTTAGGAAATCATAAACAAGTCAGTTTCTAGTTTCCTAATTGTAATCTAATTGCAAGTCGGTAGTTAGGATTATATATACATTGTTTTAGGTTGAGCTATGATCATTGGAAAATATCGTAAACACCGTGAGTTTTGAGTGATATTCTCACAATAATCAAAGAATTATTTTGATTAATATAAGTGTGTTTACATATTTTGATCTTTAGATCACTATGATGAACGTGGTCCGTTCGGCGTTTGTGATACAACGACTGCACCATTCTGCAATTGTTTGACCGGATTCCAGCCAAAGAACAAACAATTGTGGGATCTCCGAGATAGGTCTGATGGGTGTGTTCGGAGCTCCGTAATGGATTGTGGGTCGGATGGATTTATGCAATTGAAGAACATGAAGTTACCGGAGAGTTCGAAAGCGATTGTAGATCAGACGAAGAATTTAAGCAAGTGTGGTGAGATGTGTAAAAAGAATTGTTCTTGTGGTGCTTATGCCAATATGTGTGAGTGTAAGCCTATTTGGGTGTGAATCTACTATGAGTAGTTGCACCACCCTCTTTAGTTGACAAATGAATGCCTCCTTTGTTGACAATAACAACTAGAAATGGCAGCCTCTTTATTTAATACGATGAACACAATAAATTGCCACAATACTTATAGTGGCTAGCTTTAGTATAAATAGAAGTTGTAATCTCAGTTGTAAGGTACCACAAAAACAGAGAGTGTAGTGTGTAATAGTTAGAGTGAATATTGGAGGGTTGTTTCTTTTTCTTGTAATATTGAGCGTGGAAGTTCTTCTTATTTGTTCTAGTTTTGAATAAAAGTGTGTTTCAACCCCAACAAGTGGTATCAGAGCTTGGTTAAGCTCCGAGGGAGCATTCTCTGTTTTTTGGTCGAAATTTTTTTGTCTCAAAAACAATTTTGGAGTACACCGTTGGAAAGGTCTCATTCCGAGGATTCTGAAAATATATTTTTTTTGAATTTTTTGACCACTGGAAGGCTTCTAAATCGTCGGTCAAAGTTGGTCAAAAGTCGCCGGAAAGTTGACCGGAAAAACCAAGGTTCGCCGGAGAAGACGACACTATATCAGGTACTGTAGCAGTGACATCATCAGTGACATCAGCAGTTGACCAAAGTTCTAAAAATTGCAGTTTAGCCCTTGTTCTTCTGAAAAGTGCAATTTAGCCCCTGTTTTTCAGAAAAATTGCATTTTTGGTCCCTTTTTTCAAAAAAATTTTAGTTTAGCCCCTGTTTTACTACTGTAAAAGTTCTATTTTCCCCCTGAACTTCTGAAAAGTTCATATTGCTCCTTGTACTTCAAAAAAAAAGAAATTCATAGTCGTGTATGCCCAAGTATATGCCAAAAATGACTACACCAACTTTGTCATCTTCTCAAGCCGAAGTTGAAAGTTTTCGAAGGACCGAGAAAGATGGTAGTGTTACGTTACACTATCCAATGCTCACGAAGATGAACTACATGGTGTGGGCCATAAAAATGAGAGTGAATTTACAAGCACAAGGAGTATGGGATGTAATTAAAAATGCAGAAACGGACGAACGTAAAGATCGGATGGCTCTTGCGGCTATTTATCAAGCAATTCTAGAGGATGTACATTCTGATGTTAGCTGAGAAGGACACAGCTAAAGAAGCATGGGAAACGTTTAAGATGATGCACATGGGAGCCGATCGGGTCAAGGAGGCTAAAGCTCAAACCTTGAGAAGTGACTTCGAGGTGATCCGGATGAAAGACAGTGAATCAATAGATGATTTTTTCATGAGATTGAATACTATTGTAACCGGTATTCGATCTCTAGGTGAAAAGATTGAAGAAATTATGGTTGTGAAGAAGTTTCTGCGAGCCGTACTGATACGATTTATACAAATGGTAACATCTATCGAGCAATTTGGAGATTTGAAGAATATAACGGTGGAAGAAGTTGTGGGTCATCTTAAGACCCATGAAGAGAGACTTTGAAGCTATGGAGGAAAAGAAGGAGGACCTTCTCTATTGTTTACACATGCCGAGTGGGCATCTCGTTCGAAGCAAACTGGCAAGAGAAACTCGTCAAGAACTTCAAGAGGATGAGGACATGGTAACCGTGGCCGGGGACGAGGCCGAGGTCATTGACGTGGCCAAGAGGTGGTCACGAGTACAATACAAATTGGAATGTCCATAATCCTTCTCGAAAGGATAAAAGTAAAATCAAATGCTTTACTTGTGAATAATTTGGTCATTATGCTTCGGAGTGTCCAAACAAGAATCGAGGTGAGGAGGTGACCCTCACTCAAGCCAACGAAGAAGATCATATTTTAATGATGGCAGCCACACAAGAACATGCACACAAAAAAGTGTCTCTAAGAGAGAAGATTTGTGTTAATCTTCTTGCATCGGGAGAAAGTCGAGTCGAGTCCAAGGTATGGTATATCGACAACGGTGCTAGAAATCACATGACTGGAGACCGCTCAAAGTTTCGCAAACTAGATGAGCACGTTACGGGTCACGTAGCAAAAATAGCGACAAAAGGCTCCTTAATGAGCTATATTTCATTCCAAGTCTAAAAACCAATATTATTAGTCTTGGACAAATGACGGAGGAAGGGAGTCGGGTCATAATGGAGGGGTCGGATCTGACATTGTTTGACAGAAACAAAACTCTACTTTTGAGAGTTAAATGATCCCCAAACCGGTTATATAAAACTCTTTTAAGGACCGGTAGACCGACTTGTCTTTTAGCAACAAAAGATGAACTAACTTGGATATGGCATTTTAGACTCAGTCATGTTAACTTTCTCGCCTTTAAGAAGTTGACCGAAAAGAATATGGCAATCAGAGTCCCAAAGATTGAGCACCCAAACCAAGTATGTGAAGGGGGCGTTCTTTCCAAACAAACCCGAATTCCTTTCCCGGATCATGCAGTTTTTCGGGCTCAAAAACCTATACAACTTGTTCATGCAGACTTATGTGGTCCGATCACACCTACGTCTGTTGAAGGGAGTAAATATTTTCTCCTTTTAGTAGATGATTTTAGCCGGTGGATGTGGGTTTACATGCTATCAGAGAAGTCTCAAGCCTTGAGCACTTTCAAATGGTTCAAGTTGATCGTTGAAAAGAATTCAGGTTAGCAAATAAAGACACTTCGAACGGACCGAGGGGGAGAGTTCACTTCAAAAGAATTCTCATTATTTTGTGAAGAAAATGGTATTCAAAGGCATCTTACGACACCATATTCGCCTCAACAGAACGGAGTTGTAGAAAGGCGAAATCAGACCGTTATGGACATGGCAAGAAGTCTGCTCAAAGGTAGAAATGTTTCGGGAGAGTTTTGGGGAGAAGCGGTTAGACATGCAGTTTATCTTCTCAACCGCCTGCCAATAAAAGCACTTCCCGACAAGACGCCTTATGAAACATGGTTTGGCAAAAAGCCTAACCTTGAACATCTAAAAGTTTTTGGTTGTGTTGCTTTTGCTAAACTTGTTGGTGGTCACTTGAAGAAGCTTGATGATCGAAGTAAAAAGATGGTGTATTTAGGTGTGGAAGATGGAACTAAAGGCAACCGTTTGTTTGATCCACAAGACCGAAAGTTGCGAGCTAGTCGCGATGTTGTTTTTGATGAAAAAGAAGAATGGAATTGGTACAAAAACAAAAAAGAAGAGATGGTGACTCCTAAGACCTTCACCATAATTGAACCACAACCCCAAATACACCTCAAAACACCTCAAAATGACCCCAAAATCAACCCGAAACAACCAAACAGTCCATGAATCGATGATATCCAAGTTGGCCAACCATATGCTGAATTTGACAAGCCTGAACCAGCCCCACAAACTCCTGTCTCAGCCCCATTTTCTTCAACCTCGCCCCATATGGAAATCCCTTCTAGTGAGATTGGGCCAATGGGATTGTGTTCGTTAACCGATATTTATTCTGAAACCGAATATATGCTCCTTGAACCCGAAGAATTATTGATGATTGCAGCAGATTAACCCTTGAATTTTAAAGAGGCGATAATCTCTAAGGCATGGCAGGAGGCTATGCAAACAGAGTTGGATGCAATCGAGAAGAACAAGACAAGGCAACTTACCGATTTGCCACCCGGACACAAAGCAATCGGTTTGAAATGGATGTTTAAAGTGAAGAAAGACAACTTAGGAAAAGTTGTGAAACATAAAGCTTGACTTGTAGCAAAAGGATTTGTACAAAAGGAAGGAGTCGGCTTTGATGAAGTTTTTAGACCGGTAGCACGACTTGACACTGTAAGGCTTATTCTTGCCTTAATAGCTCAATATGGGTGGGTTGTCTACCATCTCGATGTCAAGTCGGCTTTTCTTAATGGAGATCTCAAAAAGGAGGTTTATGTCACCCAACCACAAGGATATGTTGATAGAGCAAACACTCAGAAGGTGTTCAAGCTTTATAAAGCTCTTTATGGTCTACGACAAGCTCCTTGAGCTTGGAACATTCGTTTGGATAAAAGCTTAAAAAGACTTGGTTTTACAAAAAGTTCACAAGACCTAGCTGTTTACAAAAGGAACTCAAAAGAAAAAATTCTTATTGTTGGTGTCTATGTTGATGACTTGATCATTGTCGAATCGATGTTTCGCAAAAGAAGTAGGGGATATCTTTGTGACAAACAGCTTATGCAAAGAAGATTTTAGAGCAATTAGGGTTGCTGGATTGCAATCCCACAACGTCACCAATGGAACCTAAGTTTAAGGTTAGAAGGATGAAGATGGTGAAAAATTTGATCCAACTGAATATAGGCGAGTGGTAGGTTGTTTGAGGTACTTAACTCACACTCTACCAGACCTGTCCTTTTCGGTTGGAATTTCAAGTTGTTTCATGGAGGAACCAACCACTTTGCATTTTCAAGTTATGAAACACATCTTATTATACGTAAGGAACCGTTGATTATGGACTCGACTATGGAAGAGGTCGTGAAATTGAAGATTTGGTTGGTTTTACGGATAGTGATCTTGGAAGTGACCCT